TTTTTTTTTTGCAGTGTTTCTTCCCCTCCCCTCCCACTCCTGGTAACCCTGTAAATCTTTACATTAGCTGATTGCCCCATCTTTCTTCCACGGAGCAGCTGGTAGGCCTTAACCACTATACCACCAGAGCTCCTTAGTCCCCTAGTACAGAGCTTAGAAAAATAGAGCTTTACATTTAAAATATATATGTGCATAGATTGTGATTCAGCAAAACTGGGGTGGGGCCCAGGACTCTCTGTTTCTGATAGGGCCAATGGCATTTAACCACTGAGGAGCCTTGGATATCTTGGCTAATTTGATAGAAGCTATGAGTCCTTTCTCCGGAAAAATGTGTATCATAAATGTGAAAGACAGCTCCAAGAAGTTCTAGAAGCCTCCCCAAGAGCCACAGAAAAGAACTCTGTGAAGACAAAAGGAGGTGCTCACTGTCTTCCACATCTGACTAGTTTTTTCGACTCTAAGCCCTTTTAAGTTTGTTCTAACAGGGTTGTGAAGGCTGTGGTGGTTCAGTGGTAAAATTCTCACCTTCCATATGGGAGACCTGGGTTCGATTCCCAGCCACTATATCTCAGACCCAGCCACCACCTGTCAGTGGAGCTCCTATGTTGCTATGATGCTGGAAAGGAATGAGGGGAGCTTCCACACTAGTTGGACTAGGAAGAAAGGCCTGGTGATCTGCCTCCAAAGATCAGCCCATCAAAATCCTGTGGATTCCAATGATCCCATCTGCAACCCACTGTAGGGCTAGAGGGGCCCTGCTGCCAAATGGAGAGGGGAAACACGAGAACTATGGGAGCCACCAAAGGGCTTGTAACTCGGAAGCAAGCTGAGGAAGAGGTTGGGCCCTGGCTTCTGATCTTTCTAGAAAGTTCACTTTCAATTCCTCTTTCCCTCACCCCTGACATTGAGTGGGAGGCTGAATGATGACAAAGGTACATGCGGAGGATCCTGGTGCTGGGGTCAGCCCAAAGGGCGGAAGGAAAGGAGCATTATTCACCAGAAGGAACTTTTCCATTCCTCATCTGTGGGTTGATGGAGAGAGGGACCCAGAGAAGCTGCGGGTTCTGGGGAACAGCAAAACCTTGACCTTCATTCCCCATGCCCCCGTCTTGAGGCCTTTCTTTTGTACATCCCCAGGCAGGCACCTCAGCACAGGCATTGTGTTGAGTGTTCCCAGCACAGCCCCATATGAGGCTCCTGGCTCAGGCTCAGCAAGTGGAATGCAGGCTTCTGCCAAATGCTTTCTTCTCCACATGATCTGGGAACTTCCAAAACTGCCTCAGAACGGGAATTTCCACCCTTTCCTCTCACTCTGTATCCAACCTTCCAGCTTGGAGAGCAGCTCTCCTCAACAGGATATAGTAGGAGGGAGGCCATATCATCTTCTAGAGGACTTTTGCCTCTGCTTCACACCCTTTCTCTCGTGATGTGCCTATTGTCTGACACTTGTAGTCACCAGATCACTTTCCAAACATTATGCTTTCTCCCTGAAGTAGAGACGCATGTTCAAACACTCAGAAAAGCTGGGAAGTATTTCCATGTGACCACAGGCCAGTTCATCTCCCTTGGGAATTTTGGTAGGTCCTTTGGTTCAAGGATCCCAGTATTCTGAGTGAACATAGCATTATGGAATCAAAAAATAGCAGTTTAAAGATCTTCACACAGTTAAGCTGGAGAAAGCCCAAGGAGTGATTGGACAGGAGTGATTGGGAACTGTCTTAGTTACCTAGTGTTACTGTATCAGAAATGCCACAAGTGAATGGTTTTAACAAACAGAAATTTATTTTTCCACAGTTTAAGAGGCTAGTAGTCCACATTCAGGGTACTGGTTCTAGAGGAAGGTTTGCTTTCTCTTTGGGCTCTAAGGGAAAGTCCTTTGTCTCTTCAGTTTCTATTTCATGGCTCCTTGGAGATCTCCACGTGTCTTAGCCTCTATATTCCCCTATCTCTGTTTCTCTCACTTGCTTGTTTAATTAATCTCTTTTACAGTTCAAAAGAGATTGATTTAAGACACACCCTATACTAATCCTGTCTTATTAACAAAGACAACCCATTCCTTAATGGGATTATAACCACAGATACAGGGGTTAGGATTTACAACACAGATTTTTTGAGGACACAATTCTATCCTTAACGGAAACCTAAGGATTCCACAGGGAAGTGGAACACAATCCTTCAAGTCTATGGACAAGGGCACATGAATAGATTAGAGAGGAAGAGCTTCTTGGAAGTCAAGATCAGATGGTCTAGGAAGAAATTATTTCAAGCAGTTGCACAGTCTCCATTCCTGGAAAGTTTTTATTCACTCAGTAAGAATCAGTTGAGTCATGGGCAAAGCGGTGAGCCAAACACAAGGGGTTTCGTACTAACAGAATAAATAAGAAAAAAATCATATCAATAAATAAAGAGAAATCATTCAAATCAATTCAACATTCATCCATAATAAAATATCTCAGCAAACCAGAAATGGAAGGGTACTTCCTTAACATAATAAAGACTATCTTTCTTCTTATTTTGCTTTTAAATAGCAAGTCTCTGAATGGCACACATTGTTAAGTGCTTCACTACCAGCTGAAAAGTTGGTGGTTTGAACCACCCAGAAGGGCCTTGGAAGTTAGAATTGTTTCTGAAAGACCACACCCTTGAAAAGCCTGTGGAGCAATTCTACTTTGCCTACATGGGGTCACATGTGAGTTGGCATTGACTCAACAGCAACTAAGAACAACAAAAAGCACATTAAATAGCAAAATATGAAATTGCTAAATTCAGGCTAAATAAAATTAAGACTCTGAGACTGGTACAAGTAAAGCGGTACAAACAAAATTGCTTTGTTCACTCTTCATTCTGCCTTTTTGTAACTTTTTGTACTTCTACACAAGAGTTTGGAACAGACTCTCCATAGATTCTCTGCTCTTGAGTTTTCTAGAAAACCAGTGTCTACCAGCAAACATGGGAGCTCTGGTAGCATAGTGGCTAAGGCACTTGACTGCTAACCAGAAGGCTGACGGTTCAAACCCACCAGCCACTCCTCGGAAGGAAGTTTGGGCAATCCTACTTCCGTAGTGATACTGCCTCGGAAACCCAAGGAGGGGTTGCTATGAGTCGGGGCCGACTCGACGGCACATAACAACAACAACAACAACAACCAGCAAACATTAAGGCTGGTGCTTGGGAGCATGGATTCTGGAGTCAGTGTCTTAGGTGGGTTGTCAGACCTGTCTACTATACCTATGAAATTCTGGATGAGTTATTTAATGTAAGTTTCAACCTAAGGAAAGTTGGGTTGTTTGGAGCACTAATGAGACTATGCTGGAAGCATATCAGCATGATGCCTGACTCCTGGTAAAAACTCATAGTGTCAACTGTGAATTTCCTTGGGCATTGTTGACCACTTACTATGAACCAGGCACAGTCATTTGTTTAATATAAACCCATTTCTCATTACAAGTATGATTGCCAAGTGTTTTCTTCCAAGAAGCTCCATGCATTTCACACACATTGGCTTAGTGACTCTTTAAGGAAGAAAAGTCATTAGATCCTTCCCTTCCCATTGGGACAAGTGTAAATCAAGGTTGAGAGGAAAGATACAGTGTGGTATGCTAGAAGATTCACTGGGCTAGGAGTCAAGAGACCTGGATTCTAGGCTTGGCTCAGCCACTAACATGCCTCAAGGAAACAGTTATTATATTTGTAAAAGAAAAGAGTTGACTGAAATGAATTCTAAGGTCTTTTAGTTTTTATTAGTATCGTTCTGTGGTTTCAGAAGAAATCTAAGGAAGAACCACTAAATAAAGCCAGGCATTCTAATCCCCAAAATATTCCTGTGCTCAGTCATCCTCCTTGGGGAACAAGAAGGAAGCTGGAAGAGCAGCCGCCATAGCAAGGGACACACTTCTTGTCCGATGCTGCCTGTGGAGCTAACCACAAGTCCCAGACTCACAGTGACTTAATGCCCAAGAATGCTTATCTACTTCTCTTTAGGGATCTGCTCAGTTGAAGTATGTTAAGGAGAGAAGAGGACCCAGATACATGACTAGGCAGCTAATTGGAAAAGTCATGCAAGTTTCATTGCAGAAGCATTTCATAGTGGTGAACAGCATCATCTTTGTTGCTAAACTGCCTGATTTCCACTCAACCACTTACTGGAGGACCTTGGGCAGGTTCCTTAGCCCCTCTGTGCCTCAGCTACCTCATCTTTAAACTGGGAATAAACAATGCTTACCAGATACAGTTAGGGGATTTAAAGACTTATTATTTGCAAAATGCTCAGAATATTCCTGGCACAGAGTAAGCACCATAAGGGTATTACACGAAAAAGTGTTTTGTCTTACTATGTGATCTCTGTGGCTTCTTCCAAGTCTTAAGTCCAATGATTCTTAGGATTCAGTTCTATGATTACAACATCCTATAGTCCTGCTTCTATTGTGAAATTGCTAAATTCACTACCATCTTTGCATTTTAAAGAACACATAGATTTCAGGCACCATTTGAGAGCCCATCTAACACCCCTTCCCAACTAGTAGTCCTTTTGGACTGTGGTCTGAAGGCAGCCTGGGGACAAGCCCTGCTATGCTTTCCTCTTCCTTGTGACATTGTTTCCTTCCGTTTCTGCAGTGTTTTCACTTCAGAGAAAGCGGAATCCCCAGAATAGCCTATTGGGATCCCGTCTGTGGTGAGTCTGAGCATAAGTGCACCCCATCCCCTCCACTTATTTTGGTCTCCACATCACATGGCAAAAGTGCCCACTGCTTCCTCCTCCTACTTCCTGGAAACCTTCCCAATGCGCTGCACTTGCTCAGCAGATTTTCCTTTCCACTTCGTCATTCATTGAGGAGGATGCTGTCCTTAGCCAGGGCCCCTCTAGCAGCTCCACCCTCTTGGCATTCAATAAAAGGTGGAAAAAGCAGCCAGAGCAGCCAGAGCAGCTGGAAGAGCAGAGAGGCTGAGAGCAACCCAGGAGCTGCCAACTCTCACTGACGCTCACCTCCTCGCCCTCCAACATGAAGGTCTCCGTAACGCTCCTCTGCCTCCTGCTCACAGCAGCCACCTTCAGCACCCAGGTGCTTGCTCAGCCAGGTAAGCCCCCCCCCTACTTCCCTTTGAAGCACATCACCCCATTCTGAGTTATCATGGACCATCAGAGCAGAAGGGGTACCCAGTATCTCAATTTAACATCTGCTTTTTCAAGATAGGGAAACTCAGAGGAGGTCAAGAAATGATGTTGGTCACACAGCTGTTCATGGGCAGAGCCAAACTAGAACTCCAGCTGTGGACTCAAAATGTAGCTCTAGAAGCAGACCCTTGGTTCAGTTACTGGTCCAGCTCCTTCCCAGAAGGTAGAGGGCAGAGAAAGAGGCCCAGGATCTTCACTGCACTTCATTCAGTACAGTTTCCAGAGAGAGTGTCTTTGCAGAGGGAATGGGTATCAGGGAAACTCACCACCAGGCAGAGGATTGCTCAGAGCCTGAAAGGGGACATATATCCAGGACCCCTGAGTTCCTCTTCCCTGGCCAATAATTTGGATGATTAGCCCCTCCTATCAGCACTCCCAGCAACTATCTAGTTTTAATAGCCTTCTTACCCCTTCATTCTATTCTTTACCAATGTCCTATAACCATTTTATGGGAGCTCTGGTGGTGTAGTGCTTAAGGCATTTGACTGTTAACTAGAAGGCTGGTGGTTGAAACCCATCAGCCACTCCTCGGAAGGAAGGTTGAGCAATCTACTTCCATAGAGATACCGCCTCAGAAACCCAAGGAGGGGTCGCTATGAGTCAGATTCGACTCCACGGCAGTGAGTTTATATATATATAACCATTTTACAGGATAAAAAACAGAGTCAAGGTGTCAAAGATCACATTCTAGCACTGGGTTATATGAGGAGTATCAGAATTTATTGGGTTCTGCCTCTTCTCTGGAGTCCCTGAGTAGCACTCAAGTAGAAGCCAAAAAGTTGGCAGTTTGAACCTACCCAGAAGCACCTCAGAAGAAAGGCCTGGCAATCTGCTTCTGAAAAGTTACGGCCTTGAAACCCCTCTGGAGCACAGTTCTACTGTGCACACACAGAGTAAACATGAGTTGGTACTGAGTCGATAGCAACTAACAACGAAACAACCTCTACTCTTTACCTCTGTTGCCTTCTCTTTATCTTCCCTTAACTACTCTTTTCTACTCTAAAGCCAAAAGAATCATCCTAAAATACCTTTTCTTTATGGTTTTATTTCCAGATGCAATTAGTTCCCCGGTCACCTGTTGCTACACATTCGTCAATAAGAAGGTTCCTGTGCAGAGGCTGGCACACTACAAAAGAATCACCAACAGCAAGTGTCCCAAAGAAGCTGTGATGTGAGTTGGTCCAAAGTTCTTCCTCAAGGAGAAAGGGACAATATTCATAAACTTAGTCTTAGGGTCAGAGTGTTATATCATCTAATACAACATTTAAAAGTTCCCAATGTGAAAACTGAGATGAAGAGGGGGAAAAGTGGCTCCCAATTGACATCGCTCCCCATCTGGGGTGTTTATTCTGACCATCCCAAGTTCTTTAGCCTGAAGTCAGGAGAGCTTCACCTGGGAACTTCTCCAAGTCCCCTCCTCCTCCAGTTCCCTATAGAAACCCCTTAGGTAGGATGGGCTGCCATCCTAGGCTGAAATCACAAAAGAACTTCATCTAACTCTGGCCTCTCTCCTCCACAGCTTCAAGACTGTACTGGCCAAGGAGCTCTGTGCTGACCCCAAGCAGAAGTGGGTCCAGGATTCCATTGCATTCCTTGACAAAAAAACTCGGACGACAACGCCTTACTCCACAACCCAAGAAACTCCAACTAAATTATTTTCCTCTAGCTTTCCTTAGATGCCCTCCGATATTATTTTATTATCATTTCATAGAATATGAACTTTGTTTATTGATATGAAATATGATGTCTTAAGTAATTTTAATATTATTTAAGTTATTGATATTTTAACTTTATCTTCTTTAAAATGCTTTCCCTATGTGAATTTTGATTCCATCCCCGGGATGTTGTGAGGGTCCTTGCAAGGATCATTAGTGAAAAGACTTTTGGTTTTAAATCCCAAAGCATTGTTAAAAATATTATTTGGAAATGAATAGTATTATATAATTATCAAACCAAATATATATTTTTGTACAAAATCTGATTTTTGGTGTTTTCTTTAAGGAAATTGAAAATCTGGGAGTGGAAGGTGGGTGGTGAGGGACAAGCACAGCTTCAGAGGATGGGGCTCATGTTTTGGAGGAATGAGATTGGGAAATGACCCTTGTCTTTTCCACTGAGATAGGCTCTTCTGAGTATTTGGGAGAGCGAGGCAGGACCCAATTAGCCATTCCACCACCATGGCTGCAGTCCCCAATATCAGATTCCCAGATCCCAATAACCTTAGTTACTTGTTTAGCAACAGCCCTTCCCCTGTTTCTTTTCTTATTGCCTCCAAACCCTGCCCACAATCTCGTTGATAATCTATTGCATCTGCCTTCTAATTGATCTGTCTTCCTGCATTCTATCCCCCTCCAATTAATCTTCCAACCTAGAGTCATGCAGACACTGAAAGAGTTGGAAAATCAGGGGGAGAATTGATGACCATTGATCAGATGGTTAGATTAAGGTTTCATATCGAGAATGTTGTCGTTGTTAGGTGCCGTCAAGTCGTCTCTGACTCAGCGACCCTATGTACAGCAGAACGAAACACTGCCTGGTCCTGCGCCAACTCCATGATCCTTTCTATACTTGTGCCTATCGCCACTGCCACTGTGTCATTCCATCTCATTGAGGGACTTCCTCTCTTTCATTGACCCTCCACCTTACCAAGCATGACATTCTTCTCCAGGGAATGGTCCCTTCTGACAACATGACCAAAGTATGTGAGACAAAGTCTGGCCATTCTTGCTTCCAAGAAGCATTCCAGCTGCACTTCCTCCAGGACAGATTTGTTAGCTAGTTTAGCAGTCCATGGTATTTTCAGCAATCTTCACCAGCACCACAACTCAAAAGCATCAACTCTTCTTTGGTCTTCCTTATTCATTGTCCAACTCTCACATGCATATGAGGCAATTGAAAATACCATGGATTATGTCAGGCACAACTTAGTCCTCAAGGAGACATATTTGCTCTTCAGCACTTGAAAGAGGTCCTTTGCAGCCGATTTGCCCAGTGTTACATGTCATCTGATGTCCTGACTGCTGCTTCCACTGGTGTTGATTGTAGAACCAAGCAATGTGAAGTCTTTGACAATTTCAATCTTTTCTCCATTTATTGTGATGCTGCTTATTGGTCCAGTTGTGAGGATTATTGTTTTCTTTATATTGAGATGTAATCCATACTGCCA